CTGTTCGGCAGAGGCGGACACTCAAATATTGAGGTCACAAGTGTATTCTAACTGAGTACTATTGTGACGTCGAATCACGTGAAAAATTGAAACGACCCCTACGCCGTTCTTTGAGACCGTATGCCTTTTTGGAAGTTGACGGCGTTCCTGATTCTGTGTAAAATCTATCTCCAAAAATTATTTTTTACGTTTACGATTTTAAATTGACTTAATCAAAAGAAATAAAATTATTTGATGCCTTCTATAAAATGTATGCTTAATTTTGCCGGTCGGTTTATATGTATATAAGCTAGAACCCAGTGTAACAACACGATCTATACCGTTTCTTTATTGTGATGTGACAAGTAACCATGCAATGGCGGCATTTGACATTTTGAAATATTTATATGTGTCAATCATTTAGTAACGCTCACTTTCATTTGTATGCAAATTGTTTCAGCATATCTAATAAAGCATATTCAATAAATATCTAAGGATGTAGTGTTTATTTCATTGTTTGTACTGTAGCTTACCTTCTATGTTTTTATATGTAAAAAACGCATTATAAAGCAACATTTTTCTGTGATAAGATAGCGACTTATCTTTCAAAATATATTAGTAAAATGAAAATATCGCCCTTTCTTAACTGACTAGCCCGATATTGTCGCATTACAGACAAATCAGCCCCGGGCGATGCACATTCGACAGTCGGCCAATATAAGAAAAGGTTGGCAAAAACAGAAAAGCACGGTCAATTCAAAATTTGGCACGAAACAAACGCATCCCGACATTCAGAAATTATCTACGTCATCCTCAAGAAGCGTTTAAAAAAACCTAGTCTAACGTACGGGTACCGAAGACAAAAATGGGCATCAAACGGGAGGCAGACGAACACATGACAGAAAAATGAACACGAAAGATGAGGAATTGTCTCAACAACAATGACTGGAATGAAATTGGAGTCAATGGTTTATATTTCTTTCCGGAGAGAGAAGAATCAGTGGACTGTTATAGATTCTATTTCATATTGGACACGACTTTTGCAGTTGGACAGTCAGTGAGTGTGCCAGGTTGATAGGCAATAAGTTTTATTGAAGTGATCAGCGTTGCTTGTTTATCCTCAGTATACTTACACGTAATGATTCAATAAGCTAATCATTCTACGGCCACTATTTTATTTTCTGAGAGTGACATTCCAGTTATCGATACGAACGTCACAGAGCGACAGCCTGACGAGGTCTATTTTGTTTACATGACTGATGCTTAAAAATAAACAAATTGTTTTCTTTGTTAATTCTGCGTGAGTCATGTCTTTCTGCTTAATTGCCACAAGGTTAATTAATAAAGACATTATTGATTGGTTATTTCTGTATTGGCCAAGTTATTGGTCCTCGCCCTGCTACATTGGCCTTCGGCTTCGCCTCGTACCAATAACTGGGTCAATAAAGAAATAACCAATCAAAAATACTATAATATAGAGAGAGAAGATTATCTCTGTTTTTTTGTAATAATAATTTGGTAAAACGATTACAAAAAATGAAAATACAGAATACAGAAAAAGCATAAGATAAACATATTGATCACATAATGTACTGTGTTACCCAGTGATTATTCCCATGTCATATTTTTTGCGTATTAATCCATGTAATATGACATATCAGCACTGTGATTGGCTGTAAGCTTCAATTGTTTCAATTATGACGTCACGCCTAAGACCATAACATGACGTCACATACTTACGCACTGGAGTCAAAATCGCGTCTTTTTATATTTCAAGTTTGCATGAAAATTGCCGTTTTACACGAACAAATGCCACAAATCTTTATTATGTAATAAAAGGATATTTCACCCGTTTTTATTTCATATGAAATTTATGAAACTCGTCACAAATTTTTCATTTTTGCTCGCCGAAAATTTTTTAGACTCGTTTCATAAATCTCATATGAAATGGAAACTCATGTACGATCCTATATATAAGACAGACATAATGAGGGAGGAGCTAAACCGACGTAAGATTAAGCGTTCCTGACGACAATGGCGCCAAGCATTACTGGCGAAAATAAAAAGATATTTAAACGAAGATTCTACATTCATTGACAAAGCATTTCTGTAATAAGATGATAACAGATATTAACAAAATAACATTATCACCGACTATAGTAAGAGCAGATTATCTCTGTTTGTTGTAGTGTTTACAACGTTCTAGTTTGGTAAAACGATTACAAAACGGTACCAAAAATACCGCTAAAATAGAAAACAAGTACACATACTACATGATGGGGAGGGAGCTAAGTCGACGTAAGGTTTAGATTTTCTGGAGACGGCGGCGTCAAATATTAACTTAACATTTAAGCCAAACATAGTTTCCTGCAAAACGGACAGAATGAGACAGATCACTCGCCGGAGTTCTTGCTTGATTGAAACTAATTCATAGTTAGTGCTTGTTCAATAAATATATAAACACTTTTAAAATAACCAAAAAACCCCTCAACTTTGTTCTCCGTCGGATTGTTTTGGTAAAGAAATTAACAAGATGCACACATAGAAGTGACCTATATGTGACAATATAATTGAAATCTTACCGTAAATTTACAAAATATAAAACAACTTACCTTTTCGAATGTTAATGATATGAAAATCACTTGAGATGTTAGCGTTGCTGCTGATATACTACGAATCTACAAGTCGGTACGCTGATCAATGTCCGCCTGAATGGCTCGCTTGTGTTTATACAGTCTTACTTGACAACTGACGTCATTATATCATTGTCACGTGATTTATTCAATGGATGTCATTGAACAGTCTCTCCCATAAACAGAATACCGATGGAATCGAAAACAAAACTGTACAAAGAATTTCTTTTAAATTATTATCGACACCATATACCGTCTTCAAACTTCTGTAATCATGTTTATAGAAACAGTGGCACTTGATCTAAGATTCTTTCAGATTTCTGTCTGTTCTTTATGTTCCAATCAATAGTTATAACCATGAATGGGACACTATGATAAAAGTCTTTAGATATAACACGGAATTAAATCTTTCTAGGTTAACATCATCTCTTTGTTAATCTTGTAAATCATTTCAAGTCGATTTATGGATACTTGTTTATGTTCATTGATAAAATACTGCATGAATTTTAAAATTTGATTGCTGTCAAAAGAATTATTTAAATTAGTTACTTATTTTGGCGTCAGCTAATTTTAGAATAATATTATTATGGTCTTATTGATATATTCAATTACCGTTATTTTTATGTATCAAATGTATTTCTGTAGTAGGAGACATACTTGTATGTTTAATACACATTTTTCAGCGTTTTGTCATACAGCGTACGAATAAATCAATGGTTTACATGAAACAATGATGCGATGTTGACAGATTCTGCTCTATATTTAGAGAAGAGTGCTTAGAAATTAACTTATAACAGCCTCGAAGGCAAGAACTTTGCGATAATTTTGATCAGTAAAATTACATGCGAAAGCCAATGTCACGAGAGAATCTGAAAGAAAACAAAATTATCGCCGATCATTTGAATTTAAAACATAAAACCATTTAAGGATCTCTGAGATTGAACAATGTATGTAAACAAGATGATGTTGAAAACGTGTTTAATTTTATTAAAAGTGTCCATGTTATTCTGATGTGTGAGCAATATTAAAACATACTATGCATTTCTTAGAGTAAAATATGTTTATCATAATCTCTGTATGTGTAATAGTGTGATTTTGTGTACTGCTGGTTTGCGTGATCCACTGTAAACATTACACGTTCGTAACCTTAATTGTAACCAATGAATCAAATACATTTCTTTAATTTGTTAAATCAGATTCGTATTACTTTCGCATTCATCCATATATTCCAATAAAAGGAAATAATAACTTGACTAATTATACATTGACCGCCGTCTCACTTTTAATAGATGGTCGATAGTCAGTGTAATATTGTATATTTCGTGTCCTTTCTGTGAACTAAGCAGACACGGTAAGACAACTCTAATAGACAGCTATAACATGTATGATATGTGTTATTCATCAAAATTGGCTTTATATATATAATTATTGATAGGATGTTCAAACACACGACTAGATCATTAAGGTTATATGCCGTTGTTATACGTAATGCGGGCTATTTACGCGGGCTTAAAATATCGCGATCTTGACTCAAAATTCGAAAATTCAATTCAAATGGATTATAATTTCGTGATCTACACATTTAATTGAACCAAATCTGTCAAATATATACAACAATATAAATGTTTTTTAAAAGTGTAACGATTAATTATTTTTATTCCGTCTTTTCGTATTGTTATCTGCTCTTGTGAGCAGGTATTGATAGTTACGTCATTAGTTTGTGTGAGAAAATTACGTCGTTTTCTCAAAGAATTATGACGTTACTCTCACAAACAAATGACGTAACAATCAATACCTGCAGATAACTCTGCAATACGAAAAGAAGGAATAGTCCTTTCTCCAGCCCGATCATGGTGTTTAATATCGTTTTATTATTTGGTGTTCGGTCAGACGGAATAATGACCACATGTTACCTTTCTGATTGCCATTTGATTTTCATTGACTATAATATGGAAACATTCTTATCTTTCACAGGAGAGTTTTGTTCCCTGATATGTATTAACCTATTACATAAGATTTATGTTTCTTGATTCTTACAGGGGTCAAATGTGTTAAAATCTTCAAACGACTTCTCAATAACCAAACGGCTCCGGGTACTGATATTGGGCCTGTAGCATGCTGGGATGAAGGGCTACCAACTTTGTTCATATGAATGACCTTGACCCACTTTCAAGCTCAAAGGGGTCAAATGTCTTAAAATCTTTCAATGATATATGTTTAAATCTTTTGATAGGTTCTTATGAATCAATCATTGATATTCTGCCTGTAGCTGTATTTTAGTCCACTTTTAAGATTACAAGTTTGAGATTAATACCAGGTGAGCGACTCGGGCCCATTTGGGCCTCTTGTTCTCTTTTGGATTACTAGAAATCATGATGAAAGTAAAATATGTTAAAGGATCTCCTACTCTCCCAGTACACCTGGGGGCCACAGTGGCCGGGTGATTCCCAGTCCACCTGGGGGCACAGTGGCCGGGTGGTTCCCAGTACACCTGGGGGTCACAGTGGCCGGGTGGTTCCCAGTACACCTGGGAGCCACAGTGGCCGGGTGGTTCCCAGTACACCTGGGGCCCACAGTGGCCGGGTGATTCCCAGTACACCTGGGGGGCACAGTGGCTGGGTGATTCCCAGTACACCTGGGGGCCACAGTGTCCGGGTGATTCCCAGTACACCTGGGGGCCACAGTGGCCGGGGGGTTCCCAGTACACCTGGGGGGCACAGTGGCCGGGTGGTTCCCAGTACACCTGGGGGCCACAGTGGCCGGGTGGTTCCCAGTACACCTGGGAGCCACAGTGGCCGAGTGATTATGGCGTTTTCATTTTCTACAATCACGAGCTCTTCAACACTAGGTCCCGAGTTCGAGGCCCACATGTTGCATTATCCAAGTACTGGCTACAGATGAGTGCTTTTTCTCTGAGGACTTAGTTTTTCCTCCACCACTGTAAACCTGACTCATATATAAATAACCCTAATTTATTGCTATTAATAGGCAGAAAGTAAACCAAACCAAACGTAACCCTCCTAGCACACCTGGCTTTACCTCCATTTCTTTATTTGGGTAAATTACCCCTTTTTTGGTATCAATGTTTCTTCGGTTGTAGTTGTCATTCCATAAAGACTTAGTTGTAAATCTAGACCTGTGCTTTACACTGTATCTAAATTTAACACATTTTGACCATTTCTTTTCATGATATAACAACAATATATATTTTTCAGAATTTGTATTTGATTGTTTTTTGTTTGATTTAAATATTTTTTACTTTAAGGGAAATTTATTTTAGTTACTTTGAAGATTTATACGCATTAAGTGATTTACACTTGTTTAATAGCCGGCAAAAGTTTTGATAAAATATTGTATTCACATTTTAGTGCAGAGGGTAGGAAGGGTATACATATGATCAAGCTTTGAATTCAAAGACATTTGTATATCATCGTCTTTGACTACTTTGTAAATGTATATAAATATATATCTATACAAGAGTTTTCTAATAAACTGTTTGTAAATTTCAGCGATTGATTTGATTGTTGTGTTTTAAAAGTATACAAGTGTACAACATTTGATATAGCACCCTATCTAGCTAGAATAGGCCACTCTAAAGCGCTTTACAGTACATAAATATTAATAAAAAATATTTGAGGAACTTGCTGGAGGTGCCTTATAAGGCGCTTATTACTAGTCCTATGCCACCTGCCTAATATTGCCCTAATTGTGTATGTCTGCGTGATTGCTGGAGATGTATTTTGTTAGCTCCCCGGACCGAAGAGCAAGTTGAGCTCATGCCATACCGTGCCGTCCGTCCTCTGCCTGTCCGTCGTCCCTCCGTTGTCTGTCGTCCATCGTCTGTCGTCTGTCCGTCAACAATTTCTTCAAACAAATTCTCCTTCTTAACCACGGATTGGAATTTAACTAAATTTTACTGGAAGCATGCCTGTGGTATGCTAAGACGATTGGCTACCAAGTTTATTAAAAAGAATGACCTTGACCCACTTCCAAGGTAACAGGGGTCAAATGTCTTAAAATCTTCAAACAACTTCTTCTCAATAACCAAAAGGCACAGGGTACTGATAATAGGCCGTAGCATGCTGTGATGAAGGGCTACCAAGTTTGTTCAAATGAATGACCTTGACACACTTTCAAGGGCACAGGGGTCAAATCTGTTAAAATCTTCAAACAACTTCTTCTCAATAACCAAAAGGCACAGGGTACTGATAATAGGCCGTAGCATGCTGTGATGAAGGGCTACCATTTTTGTTCAAATGAATGACCTTGACACACTTTCAAGGGCACAGGGGTCAAATCTGTTAAAATCTTCAAACAACTTCTTCTCAATAACCAAAAGGCACAGGGTACTGATAATAGGCCGTAGCATGCTGTGATGAAGGGCTACCATTTTATTCAGTGAATGACATTGAGCCACTTTCAAGGTCACAGGGGTCAAATGTCGTAAAATCTTCAAACAACTTCTTCTGAATAACCAAAATGCATAGGATGATGATGATATTGGGCCTGTAGCATGCTGGGATGAAGGGCTACCAAGTTTGTTCAAATTAATGACTTTGATCGACTTTCAAGGTCACAGGGGTCAAATATGTAAAAAAAAAACTGTAATGCAACTTCTTCTAAATAACAAAAATGCCTATGATGATGATGACATTTGGCCAGTAGCATGCTGGAATAAAGGAGTACTGAGTTTGTCCCAATTAAAACTTCTTCTGAATAACCAAGAGGTATAAGGTGATGATATTTTGCCAGTAACAAGCTCGGATGAAAACTATCAAGTTTATTCAAATGAATGAACTTGACTTATATTCAAGGTCACAAGGATTGAATATGTTGAAAACATTTAAACAACTTCTTTTGAATAACAAAAAAAGGTCCAGGATGATGATACTTGGCTAGTTACACGCTGGGATGAAGTGTTACCAAGTTTGTTCAAATAGGTGATCTTCACCCATTTTCATGGGCACAGGGGTCAAATCTGTTGAAATCTTTTAAAAGGTTTTTTGAATCAAACACCTATATTCTAGCTGTATTGTAGTCCAGTTTTAAGATTACAAGTGTGAGATTAATACAAGGTGAGCGATTCAGGCCCATTGGGCCTCTTGTTTTAGTTTTTGTCACAGGCACAAAAAGTAAAAATGCGGATATTTTCGGAAGATCTTGGGTGAACGTGTACATTTTTTTTCATCATTTGAAATTTCATCAGCTTTTGAATTCCATTCGTTGAGAATATGTACTAAATAATTAACATTTCTGAAAGTCTGGTTATAGTCTTTACATTATTTATTTATGCATCATCATTATACGAAATCATCAATAATTTTTCAGACAACCAACCCAAGTGCAACGCCCTTTTTCATCAACGTAATATTTTTTCACAACGCGTGCCGATTTATAACTAGTTACAGATAGGAACTGATTAATTTAATCTGTCATCATTACCTGCCAAACCTCGGTGACGGTTACACAATTTGAAATTCAATCAGGTGTTTCAGGATGGAACAGTAATTGAGACTACATATCGATATAGAAACAATTTCAGTTACATCAAAGTATTACAATGTTTTCTTTTTTTAATTTTCTTTTTTAACTTACATCTCTATAAATTTACTTAGACAGATCGTCAAATATGTAAAATGCACTTTGTTTCTAAAGCAATTACCAAACAGTTTTTCTCCAGCTTATCTCAATCGTTCTTTTTGTGCCCTGACGAAAGCACGCAGATGATTTATTTTTTAGTATGGGAGGAAACGGGACTATTCGGAGAAGACCCGCGTGGTAGGGCAGGTGACCTGGATTGAATCCGGCCATCTTGGTGAAGACGAGCGCACTATCCACTGCGCCAGCCGCTCCATCATGTAAGCTATGTACAAGAACAAATATTTACTTTAGCTTTGACTGGAAGAAAATGTCGTCATTGATGCAAAAATTACATTGTAAATACATTTTTACCAAATATCAATGATACAAAAAATCTACATACGGGACACCGGGGCAAGTTCGGCCACCCCTAATATTTCAGTTATTGAGTTAATATTTACAACTTTAAATATCTTAGTAGTTTAGTTTGCTGGTCATTCAACGAAAAAATGGTGAGGAAAACTCTTTAGTAAAATTACTTAACAGGAGAAAATTACTTTTGAGAGGGTAAAATGAAAATCATGATCTCGCTTCTAGCTATGCGAACATTTTGAAACGGAATTGCTACTTCTTTTACAGTCAAACGTGTAACATACCGACAGCTTCAATTAAACTTGTTCTAGGACTCCCCTATTTATGTCGGTCTTAATCTCACAAAAGCTTGTGTTTTATTGTTATTCCTCGACTAGCCGACTTTAAATAAATATCTTCTCTCATTATGAAAGCTGTATTCTGAATCAGTAAATATCAGAGATCAACAAAAGCTACGCTCTTTTAAAGCTTTGCCTTTTCATATTTGATTTTAAGTTAAAGTTGTGGGATTTGTTTACCACTGAAACAGTCCTACTTAACATGTTGTTACTATAATTGGTGTGTTATTTGGTGTTGAAAATTAAATTTGTATTTAAAAGCATGACGCGAACGCGAAACTGTTTGGTAATAATTTGATATAGCTATGGAATTTGCATAAACTGGTGGTTTTCTAAGTTCATAACATCGCCGTTGCTATAGAAATAACCAGCCATTTTGCAGACATGGTGAACTGTTGCCGACATTATGTGAGAGGAAAGATTTAATGACGGCAAGGTAAAAATAACATTTAGATTTTATTTATCCACAGAAACAATTATTACATAAAAATGGTATGTACAAAAACCAATAATCACACTAAATTGTATTCACTTTAACAATTAATACATACAATTGTATCTACAAAACCAATATGTACACAAAATATTTCTACAGAAACTATAATTACATTAAAGTGTCTATATAAAAGCAACGATAACATTGAAGTTGTTACTATACGAAAGATATTGTTCTCCTGCCAAAAACGTCATATATGTGACATGGGTTGTTTCCGGTGTTTGTATATTGATACATGGCGGTCTACAAACAGGCGAAATGTTTCCGTTTTAATAATACGTGATGCATAATGAGATAGCTTTTGGTATTTTTTTGTTGAAACGTAAAACAAAATGTTAGCCATCGGTCTCTCTTTTTCAGATTTACTCTTCTGGACTACTACAATATAAATTATAATACTTAACATTTAATAACTACATAATGATAAAAATGCAAATTTGCGAGTAATATAAACTAAAAACCCAACACATGTAAGAGCTAATGGGCGTATACCTATTCCTATCAAGATCCAGCTAACCCGTCAACTTTACTACCATAACAAGTCCACTACCTTACTTTCTATACCAGTACCAATAGCCTCAGGTGGCTGTATACATAATTGCCCTGCATGTGTAATTACGCAGAAAAGTCACAAAAACATATTTAACGAAGTTACTCTACTTGAACCATTCCTTATATATACATTTAAAACGTCAGCGAAATTTTGGCATTAAAGTACCAATGTCACAATATAATAATTCACAGATATTAAATTACTTGAAAACTTGTCTTGTATTCATTGCCCCCTCTCAACACAAATATTTATACACATATTTACAACAGTTCAAATACATCAAATCTATAATAACGTGTGACGGGTATAAAGTCAGGTCAAAATAAATTTCTAGTTAAATATCGGGGCTTGACAAAGTCGTGATAGTGCAGCCTGAAGATCTCTCTAAACCTAGCATAGCTACCCTCTTTTCAAAATTGTTTTCTTGACGCCTTCGGCTACATTTTGATATGAAAATTGTTTTGATGTTCAGCAATAAAATATTTTTTACGGTATTAAATTTTTACACCTTTTCACGTGAACGTAATGTGCACAAATATTAACTGTAGATTAATGATGATAT